AACTCTTGAAATCACTCGCACTCGATCCGCCGATCTGCAGACTCCCTATAATACCATATACCCTTATTAATACTCTTATCATTCAAGACAACTGACCCTAAGAAATTATATGCAGGTCAACTCTGGTCAACGGTCAACTGGACCGGACTCGTCGAGTGCAAAGGTGACTCGACGAGTCGAGACGTCCTCTCCAACTTTCCCTGATGTTCCCTTTCTACTCGTCGAGTATCCCCCTTGACTCGACGAGATCCACGTGGAAGAATCGCGGGGCCACCCCGACTCCACTCGCCGAGTCTGAAGAACAACTCGGCGAGTCCCAGTGAATCTTCAAGCTACTCGCCGAGTCTGTTCATTGGACTCGGCGAGTCCATGCCATGCAGTCGATCAACTGCTTCCTGAAATACGTATGGTCCCGAAATACACAATCATGGGACTTTCTGGACCTCTAAACATCCTATTACTGGGTATAAACGTTTGGGTAACAACATAATAATCCATCTAATCACCAAATGGGTTTCATAAACCCTAAATCCGTGTACACATCAAAATAACAGGAATGATCCGAAGTATTACCTGAAAAACGTACTCTCTGTGTCCCCAAACCTCAGAACTCGATCCCCTTGATCTTCCTTTGGCCAAAACCCTTCCTCTTCTTGCCTAACAAATTCTTCAAGGTTCCAATAGCCTTCACTCCTGCTCTAGATGTCCACAGACGCTTAGGTTCTTCTCAATCGGCCAAAAGACGGACAATGACGGCCTAAAAGGCGTTATATACGATCCAAAACCAAACGGCTAGGGTTTCTGCTGAACAGCGTCAACTCGCCGAGTCCATAATGGACTCGTCGAGTCCAGTCGCGAACCCGCAACCCAGTCTGTGGTCCTACTCGGCGAGTCTGGCTCCAACTCGCCGAGTCCCTTCCTAAAACACCCCAAAAACAATATTATAAAAATACCTGAAATTCCGGGCTGTTACATATGGATTTAGTGCCAGTCATATAACTCTGGAAGCAAAGGACTTCAGAATGAACGAATGCAGGATAGATGACTCTTAGGATAGATCCTTAAGAGTAAAGAAGATAATGGAGATGAGTAATTGGGTCGATTGTTTGATTGTTTAAACATAATAATTATATTATTGTGGGTTGAAAACCCTATGTACTCACCAGGTTTCCCAACTTGATCCACTCAGTTTATTTATATTACAGGTGTTGAGATGAAGTCACATTACACTGAGAGATTAAAGAGATGTAGATCACTAGTGTAAATAAATGTAAGTTCTGTTTATGCTTATGTCTCTATATTGACGATGACATCCCAAAAGTTTTAAAACGAATTAAAAATACTTTTATTCGGAAATGCTTTAATAACGTATTTATCATGTTTTACTGGGAACAAATTCCACAACATTTTTATTAAAAGAGGTACTCTGATTTTTATAAAGCATAAACAAAATCGGTCTTTTCCAGGCCGTGAAAATGGGGATGTCACAATATGGAGCGAAGGTACGTGGGGCGTACCAACCTCGGATGCGGGGCATAGCGAAGGTCTACGTGGCTTCATCCGAAGCGATGCCTGATTTGCGATGGATGGTCCAGATGTTGCCACGTCATCGATCCGTGCCTCAACTTCACAAATCCGACTCTAAACTTCAAAAATTCATATCTTCATCATACAAGCTCTGTTTTTGACGTTCTTTATATCCACGCGAAGGCGGGAACGTACTCTACAACTTTCGTTTAGACTCCGTTGACTAATTTTGATTTATTTTAAAATTTATATTATTAACATGCCGGGACCGGTTTGGTCCATTAAAAATTCCAGGTCGTGAAAATGGGGATGTCACAATAAGGAGCGAAGGTACGTGGGGCGTACAAACCTCGGATGCGGGGCATAGCGAAGGGCTACGTGGCTTCATTCGAAGCGATGCCTGATCTGCGATGGATGGTCCAGATTTTGCCACGTCATCGATCCGTGCCTTAACTTCGCAAATCCGACTCTAAACTTCAAAAATTCATATCTTCCTCATACGAGCTGTGTTTTTGACGTTCTTTATATCCACGTGAAGGCAGGAACGTACTCTACAACTTTCGTTTAGACTCCGTTGACTAATTTTGATTTATTTTAAAAGTTATATTATTAACAGGCCGAGACCGGTTTGGTCCATTAAAAATTCATAATTTTTTCATCCGACGTCCGTTTTCTTCCATATTTTTATTGTTATGCTACTCTTAACGGGATCTTTGATTCTCATTTAGGTTGTGTCGGCTAAAAACAACTCGATCTAATATTCAAACTTCGGGTTGTACACTACTACGCCGAAACTTTGAAAAATCATAACTTCCTCATACGAAGTCAGATTTGGGCGTTCTTTTTATGGACGCTCTTGGTTTAATATATTCTACGACTTTCGTTTAGATCACTAAGGCTAAAAGTCGCTCTATGGTAGATTCACTATTTACGCTTCTTGGTATTGTGTCGGTTCCGTCGCAAAACTTCAACGGGTCATAACTTTTTCGTTATAACTCGGATTTCAGCGTTCTTTATATCCCCGAAATCCTTGTTTCGACCTCTACAACTTTATGTAAAGATATCAGACTTATCTCACATTTTAAATTTGACGTTTATTTTTATCCTTTATTAATTATATCTTTATAATTAAGTAATAAGCACACAAATATACATAAATCACATAGAATTCAAATATTTTATCTTTATTACTTCAAAAAGAGTTAAAATAGTTGACCTAGACTATTACATCGCCAAAAAATACTTAGCCCTGAAACCCGGACGTTACAGTAGATTACAATATGATCACACTAAAACAACATAATTTCAATCCCTCATAATCAACTGAGTTTAATCAATAACTAATTCTATTAAACATTTCATCTAACACATGGTATGCGAAATCGACCTAAAAATAAAGTTGGATGAAATTGCAATACCTGTCCAATTCATATGTTGATTCTTCAATCCTTAACCACTGTTAGTACAAAAGAACCATAGTTGCAATAAACCCATATCGAATTGCCAAACTCATCATATAAACAACAAAACAAACAGAAATAATACATGAATAAGTAATGGACTCAATAACTTATCCGCGACGATCTGCACTGTGAAGCTTATCTTGGATTTCCTCAATAATAGAAGGAGAAGTAGAAGCAAGGCTTCTTTTCAAATGTTGCTTGGCATTCCCTTCGTCTGATTTCGGGGCTACTTCTAATCGGAGGTGAGGCATCAATCGATTTATGGTTACTCCTTATGTAAACAACGATCAATTCATAGGAACCCTGTGACGAATATGTTGCAGGGATGATGCAAAATCAGGGAAGCAAGTGATGTCTAAATTAGGGAAAATATGGAAGAAGTGGAGAAGATAACGATGAAAAGTGAAATCGATGTAGAGGCGGTGGGTCTGTGATTATTTGATGGTCAATTGAGAATATGAAGACATCGGTCAATGGTGGTGAAGGATATTATTGGACGAGAAGAGTAACAGTGTGTAATTAAGTGAGGGAGGTGGTGAACGGACGAATATTTGTACCCAGGAACCAAAGGCGGTAGACATTCACAAAAACCAAATGACGAAGCAAAGGACCCAAAAACAAACCCCTAAAAAATAGCATGGCTAAAGTTAAATAAAAGGAAGTTTTGTGAAAAAAAATGAAAAAAAGGGAAACCTTACTCTTGGTAAGGTTCCTTACAATTAACCTTATATATAATTAAACTAACTTTTATATACTATCTTTCTTTTTATAAGGATAATTATTTTTTAATTTAAAAAAAAAAATAACCTTTTTTCTAATTGTCTTATTCAGATATGTTTTGAAAATTTTGATTTTTTTCATTTATAATATTATTTAAAAAAATCTCTTTATTTATTTCCAAGATGTTCTGAAATGTTTAATATCATCGTTTATTCAAGAAAATGTATAATTTTAAGTCGTTTTATCTCACACACACACACATATATATATATAGGTTCATTCGAAAACATAAATATTTTGCGAAAATACGAAAACAGATTTGATCATATAAAATCAAACATATGTACTTTAAAAATTAAATTTATTAGCAATAGTGATAAAGATAATAAATTTACATTGAATGCTGTTATAATAATATAGATTTAAAGATAGTTTTGACAATCGTTTTTTTCTACGTTTTTAACCACTTTTAAATTCAAGTTTTCATAAGAAAAATCTCAAAAAAATGTCTTGCTAATATGAAAGTATTTCTAATGTATCATTGATTATCAACGTGTAGTTTAAAGTTTAGTTGAATTCTTGTCCAAAATATAAGGTTAAGGTGGTACAATATCATATGTTTTTCTTGTTTTCGAATTTTCGTAAATTATTCTCATTTTCACGTGTGTGTGTATATATATACACACACACACACACACACACACATATATATATATATAAACTTTTTATTAGATTTTAATAAAAAATAAATATATATATATATATATACATATATATATATATATAAACTTTTTATTAGATTTTAATAAAAAATAAAGCTTTTGTTTTTAAAATTCCGAATTTTTCATCGAATTTCAGACTTCTTATAAAATTCTGAATTTTTTTTCTTCTCTCAAACTTTGAAACTTCGGTTTGAAATCCGGAATATCAATATAAATGTATTTTTTTTTTTGGCACAAAAATACTTATTATTAGTTCATAATACTCTGGTCCGGACTTCTTGTTATTTTATAATTGTTTTTCCTTTAAACTAATTTGGTTAGTTTAGTTAATAAACCAACATAAAATGTTGCAATTTGAATGGAAAAATAGATAAATTAAAACTTCACTTAAAAATGTTAAACTTGTTAAACAAGTTAAAGTACAAACATTATGACTGTTTGATTTCTAAGAAACATTATAAAGTATAAACTATAAAGAATAAATTAAATGATCAAAATTTTATTTGTGTAAATAACAAATTAAATATTATAATCTAAAGGGTAAACGGACAGAGTAGACTCCCATAGTTTTTGTTTTGTTGCAACATTTAAAAGATAATTTAATTTGTTTAGCGTAAGGTTTCTCCAAGATTCACAGATACCAAAACACCCCCTTCCCCCACCCCACTCACCATAACAACTGTTCTTCTTTCTATCCCCACTTTTTTTTCCAAATCTCACCACCACTCCCTCTTCTCTCTCCCTCACTGTAACACAGCCAAAAAGCTTCTGCCTTCCCTCTGAATCTTCAATTCCATCACTGTACTATCGATACCACTGTGTGTCTGGTGTTGCAGAACCATCGCCATTGTTGGAAATTTCAAAGAACCATTCGCGGATTTCATGAGTTTATGGTAGTTGTTGATCTTTGTCTTTGCAGGGGTTTGGATTTCTTGAGGATAAATGGGGGTTTTGTGATCTTTTATTTGGTGTAAATCGACAATGTGAGGTGAGTTTTGAAGATTTCCATTTGGGTTTTTCATTTTGTGATGATGGTGGCTGCGATTTCTGAAACAACAAACCAATCAAGACCACCGTTGTTACCTTCCGAGAAAGATAATGGAATCATCGGCCCTAATAAACCAACAAGACCTAAATCGAGACAAGTTTCTTCAAGGTACTTATCCCCTTCCCCTTCTCCTTCCCCTTCAACTTCTTCGAATTCCTCGTCGTTACCGACACCGACGCCTTCACGACGCTTCCCATCTCCTCTCGTTTCGAGAAATTCGACTACTCCGGCAGCAAAACGGTCTGTTTCCGCCGACCGGAGACGATCCACTCGACCGGATCTTAACTTGAAATCTAACAATGCCGGCGGTGCCGGCGAGGTGTCGGCGGCCACTAAACTTTTAGTAACATCCACACGAAGTTTATCCGTTTCCTTTCAAGGCGAAGCGTTTTCATTACCGATTAGCAAAACTAAAGCAACCCCCACTTCCCCTAACTCAACTACTTTCCGAAAGGGTACCCCTGAAAGAAAAAGAACCGGTACCCCTTTACGAGTCGGAGATCACGCCGAGAATACAAAACCCGGAGATCAACACCGGTGGCCGGCGAGAACTCGTCAATCAAATCAAACCGTTTTATCAAAAAGTTTGAGTTTAGATTGCGGGGTTGAAAAGAGCAACATAATCGGATCTGGGAATGTAATCAGAGCTTTACATCAATCCATGAACATGGATTCCAGAAGGGCATCAGTCGATGGTGTTCATGGTGGGAGATTATCACTAGATTTAGGTAATTCCATACTTTCAAACCCAATTCAACAAAACCCAAATGGGAATTCCTCCGATACCGATAGCGTCTCATCTGGTAGCACATCTGGAATCCAAGAAACAAACCGGAATGGAACCAGAGGGGTAGTTATGTCCGCTAAATTTTGGCAAGAAACAAGTAGTCGAATGAGAAGATTACAAGATTCAAGTAGTGGAACTAGTCCAGGATCAAAACTAGTGACACCATCAAAATTAGCAAAGAAATTTTCAAACGATGGACCATTATTATCACCAAGAACAATGGCTTCTTCACCTAATAGAATGAGACCTTCATCACCGAGTAAGCTGATGACATCATCAGTAACATCATCGCCATGTAGGGGTATGATTAGTCCAAGAAGGAATTCGGTTTCTGGGATTGTTACTAGTGGATTTGGTGAAACCCCTTCTGTTCTAAGTTTCGCAGTTGATGTTAGAAGAGGGAAAGTTGGTGAAAATCGGATTGTGGATGCACATTTATTGAGGCTTTTTTATAATCGACAGTTACAATGGAGGTTTGTTAATGCTAGGAATGAAGATACATTATTAAAACAAAGATGTGGATCAGAGGTATGATTAAATCTTTTGTTTATGTTAATTCTTAACATTCAAAGCAAATATTTGAATCTTTTGCTTTGTGTTCAGAAAAATCTATGGAATGCATGGATTACAATCTCTGATTTACGTGACTCAGTCACCAAAAAAAGACATAGATTACAGTTACTGAAGCAAAAACTTAAGTTAGCCTCCATTCTCAAGGAACAAGTAAGTTTTTTATTTATTTTTATTTAATAAATAATATGGTTTATTTGATAAAAAGAAAAACCTTAAAAGTCTTGTTATTTGTAAACATAGATAGATTTTTTGGAAGATTGGGCTTCTTTAGATAAAGATCATTCGATATCATTACTTGGAGCAATTGAAGCTTTAAAAGCCAGCACTCTTCGCCTCCCTGTTGGTGGAGCAATAGTACGTGATTTTACCATTTTACCCTTCTCATTTCAAAGTTTGACATTGGTGTTGATTTTTTTCAGGCTGATCTTCAGAGCATGAAAGATGTTATAAGTTCAGCACTTGAAGTGATGCAGACATTGTGTTTGTCGATATGCTCGCTTTGTGTGAAGGTGATTAAATCTATAAATAGGTCCAAAGTATAAGGGCTTTTATGTCATTTAAAAAAAATAAAAGATTTCTAAAAAAGGTATTTGAAAATTATTAGGTGGAGGAAGCAAATTCAATGGTCAGTGAGCTTGCAAGTGTGTGTGCAAAAGAGCAAGCTTTGCTTAGGATTTGCAAAGGCTTATTGTCGATGTTAGCAGCCCTCAAGGTAAATTTTGGTTTCTTTTTAGAGTAAATTACGTTTCTGGTCCCTGAGTATAGTTGATTTTTGCAATTTTGGCCCTTATTTTGACGTTTTGTAATTATTGTGGTACTAGAGATTAAAATTGAAAAAAAAGCATACCACATGGATCAAAGTTGTTCTTATCGTTAATTTTTAAATAAAGGTTTATAGCATTTTATGTGCGCGTATGTTTTTTAGAACTTATAATATTGTGTTGCAATAAATAAAAGTATGAACAACAACGAATATATGCACATAGAAAATGCTATAAACCATATTTAAAAAAAGAAAAGATAATTACAGACTTGGTCCTTGTGGTAAACTGTTTTTTTCCAGTTTTGGTCCAAGGGCAAAATGGTATTTTGTAAAAGTTTTAAGAGATAAGCTGAGGAAACTTGAAAATAAATAAATAATGACCAAATTTGCAAGAGAATTTTTTGTGATAAAAAATTGCCAAAATCTACTTGTACTTAAGGACCAAAAATGTAATGTGCTCTTCTTATTACATTATTGTACATTCACTTTTTTCTTTCTAAGAAAATAGACTTCCATAACTCTACCAATTATAGCATTGTTTTTTTTTTATTTTTTTTTTTTAATTAAGACAATATACTTATTTTAGCATTGTACTTTTTTATTGCATTATTGTATTTCCACTTTTTTCTTCTTAACACAATCTACTTTGATAACTCCCCCAATTATGCAATAGTGGAATTAAACTTCTAATCTTTTTCTTATTAAGACATTATAATTCAAAAAATCTACTTACTTTGATGAAATTACATAACATTATATAATTATATAACCCTCTTTTTCTTTTATAATAATAATAATTTTGTTAACGAATCCAACAGGTGAAAGATTGTAGTTTGCGAACACATATGTTACAAACAAAGTGTGTGAAGAAATCACATTTGTAGAATTGATCTTTTAATTCAAGAAATTGCTAACATTACATCAAGTGAAGAATGGAGTTTCCGAAGGTAATAAAGTAAAGTAGATGACTTTTTGGCTTGTGGCTTTCGGGTTTTCTTTTTTTCTTTTTTGTTTGGGGAATTTGCTGTGTATTTTCTTGAGATTTGCAAGTGAAAGAAAATGTAGTTTGTTTCTAACTAATGTAGTTTTTTTTTTTTTTTTACACTCTTATGTATATATTATATAGGGATATGTAATTTCACTTATTTAATTCTCATGTAATTTGGTAAAGTTTGAACATTGAGCATTAAGAGCCTTTAGTGCTTTTTGGGTTGTGCTTTGCTGCAATTTAATGGTACCATTTTTGAAGCTACCACCATTAATGAAACATAGACTTCTTGCAAATTTGCAACTATCGAGAGCTTTGATTTCAGTCGAATAGGGTTCTTATCCCATTCATCTAAATTGATTACATAATTTTGATTTCAGTCGAATACGGTTCTTATCCCATTCATCTAAATTGATTACATAATTTTGATTTCAGTCGAATACGGTTCTTATCCCATTCATCTAAATTGATTACATGATTTGATATTACGCCAAAAGACTATTACATGCTTTGTATCTTTCTTTTTGCTCACAATGTAAAGATGTCCGCTAAGTGTTTGATGAAATGCTTAATCCTCCTAAGATAGAATATGCCCACCAGGGTTTTTAACCCCATTTGTCTAAATTGATTACATAATTTGATAATAAACTCCCCAAAGCCCAAAAGACTACTACATTTTTGCTTTTCCTGTATTTAATACTACATACATGCTTGAAGATCTTGTTGCTCAAAAGTATAAAAGATGCCCACCAAGTGTTCGATAAAATGCCAAAGCCATCTTAAGACGCTGAATATCTCCCTTTTCTTGAAGGGGTTGACTTAGATTCATCAGGATTAGCAGAACCAAGACTCTCAGATGAATCAGACCCACTATTCTCCTTAATTCCACCTTTACTTGACCAAATCTTTGAGAGTATTTTCTTAGTTGAAAGCAGCCCTTTGACTCTAGGAACCGAAGCTTTATCCGATACAGTATTCTTATGGCCATGGTGGCTCATTCTTAAGGCTGCAAGTTCCTCCTTCAACGCCTTGAGTTCTTCAGCTGTTGCCACACCATCCCAATCATCTTCTTGATTTGTTGCAGGTCTTCCATGGGAGGAAACATTGAGAGCTTTTATTGATTTGGGAAGATCTGGAGTGCTGCTGCCTGATGAGGTGGCAGCTCGAGCTTGCTCGAAGAAAAGGACTTGAACTGTGACACGTAACGGGAGCCGCTCATTTTGAACTGCGTGCATACATGCATCTACCGAAAGTTTCTTGCAATCCATTAATTTGCATATTCTCTTTCTTTCACTCTTAGTGATCCCTTGATGTGTCTGCATAACATGACACTATTAGTACGCAGCATATGAGATGTAAATCAAGTATACTTCTGGCATAAAGACCATATGCCCAAAAGGAGCTTAATCAACATTAGAATTAAATTTCTAACCGATTAAGCTTCTTTTATAGCCAATGAGCCCTTATGTCAGCCACCTGCTGACATAATGGCCCACTGGCCACGAGGAACCTAATTCATAGTGGAATTAGATCTCCAACATTAACATGTAAATCAAGTATACAACAAATCCCACTAGATGGCTGAGGTCAAATCCACATTGGAACCCTAAACCTTTTGTGCAAGTAAAATATATCCTAGAACAAATTGTACAAATTCTAATGCATAGATTACAAGTTGAAAGAAGAGGGATCAATTTTTTTTACCTTGAGATACATATCAATGGCGCGATACAACCCATCGTGAGAAGGTCTAGAGAAACCATTCACCATCTCTGCAAGATCAACAAACATCCCTAAAGGCAAATTTGGATCTTTTGATATTTCAGTCAAATAAGAGTCAACCAATTTAACCACCATCAACTTTGAAGCTTCCGATAAAATCCCTCCCATTTCTTGACCTCCATCTTCAAATTCACCATTATGATCTTGAACAATAAACTCTTTAACAATTTCTTGAACTATATTCACATCATAAATGATGCTTTCAGATTCGCCTTCTTTCATTTTAATCAAAAGATCTTCAACACTCGCCTCCTCTAATTGTTGACCAATCCTTTTGACCAATTCCCTTTTCGCCATTTCACCCGAATCAACAACAATCGCCATTTTCAACAATTTTACCAAAAAACCACACGAAACACTCCCTTTTTCGGATGGCAATAACCAAGAAATAATCTCAATAACAGACCGAGCTTTTATAACATCATTTTCATGTACAACACCATGATTAAAACCTGGTAATCTTCTTAAAGCAAACGCTTTTAACCCTTCACCAATCACTTCATTACATATCAAACCCTTATTTTTTATACACACAAGAACCCGTTTATATAAACCGATTTCCAACTCAGCCAAATCCTCAACCCACCAATCTTTTGGAACCATTCGTGTTCTAACCCCGAATTCATTCGCGTTTTCTTCCGGAAGCTTCTTACGGTTATAAGTATACGACCAATCAACCTTTGACAGATCAACCGAAGCCTTGGAGGCTATGGAGTTGATGCAAAGGTTGACTAGTTTTGGTTCTTCTGACAATGATGTCATGTTTTTTGTGGTTTGAAGTACTATGATTGAATCTTTCCAACTTCTAAAGATACTTGTGTTGAGGAAAACACTTAGTTTGTATACGAGGTTTCCTTTTTCAACTGTTTCGTGCATTTCGAGGTAATCGGCTGCACAATATGTGGAGATAACATTGTACGCGTTTAAGGTAACCGTCATACCATAACAGAATTTGGCACATATTTCGAATGCAGTGGGCCCCCCTGGGATTTCATTAATATCGATTTCGCCCCCTTCACCTTCGGTTGTGCCTCTGATTAGTTTTTGTAAGCGACCACTTTTTGATAAAAGAGGGAACTGAAAATGAAAATGAAAATGGAAATCAATGTTATGGAATGTACAAAAAAATGTGATTTTGTAATTTTTTTCTTGATAGCAACGGATTTTGATTCTGTTGCTAAAATATTTATGGTTGCAAGTTTGAGAATTCGAGTAATATGTTGATAAAAGATTGTTATATGGTATTTTAAGCTATTGGTAGAAAATAAAATTACATAAAAAGACATAAAACTTAAAACTGAAGCATTAAAGCAAAAAGCTGAAACTCTTAAAACTTGCTTGAAATAACTTTTTGATTATGATATTTTTGTTTTAAAATAGAAGATTTAAGTTTTTAATCGCAAATAAAGTTCTTTTCTTTAATTTTAAATTTTTTAAAGTTAAAAGTTAACCTTCTTCTAAAAGCTCTTAAAAACCAAACACAAGTACCAATTTCTTGTACCAAAAAATTAATACGTTGATAGAAGATTGTAATATGATATTAAATGTAAAACCATCAACAACAAATTACCCAATTTCCAGCACCAAAATCAGTATAATTGTTTGTGCAAAACAATTATAACCGTTATATACTATTTTTAGCATAAAAAATGTTGTTTTTGCTGACTAAAATAGATTTAAATAAAGACCTCATGTTTATCGGATTTTTACAAATTTGACTATTTTTTTATTGTAAAATCTCACACCTTGTTAATTGCGTTTTATTATTAGATTACAAGTATTATAATACGGGAAAATGTCATGAATAACCATCAATAACATTATATATGCTTTTAACTCAACTAAAAAGCAAATAAAATGTTATTGGTAATCTTATGACCTTTTCCTATACTATATGTTTTATTCAGATAAGCTTTTTTTTAAATGTTAAATGAGTTTGATACATGAAAATAAAATTTAATATTATTATATAACTTTATAATCAATAAATAAGTATTACATATAAACTATATAATAAAGTCTAAATGTATAAAACTCAAATTCAAAGTTTTACACAAAAATTGATATAACTATATAATATAACAATCATACTTAAGATTCTACACTTCACTTTTACCATCAACAAAACGGCAACGTATTGAAGATGCCCATACGACTACCTACGGATTCGTGTTAAGCTAAAGATAGATTCATTAACTCTAGATAGGAGTTCATATTAACTTCTTGCATTAAAATATGTTTTTATTTAATATTAATATCTTTGTAGTAGATCAGCATACCTTGTGTAGATAGAACTTTGAATCTCCTACGTTGATGATGACGTCAGTTTCCAACTCCGAAGTAACATACCTAACAAACCATAGGTATTCAATTCGTTACTCACAAGTCATAATCAATCACATAAACATAAAGAAAAGGGCCCATTTGTACTTTGAAGTTTGAATCAGTTATCAAACAATTACATGAAGAAAATAATCAAAATAAAACGAAATACATCTGAAATGTAATGAAATTTTACCAGACATTATCGCCATCTTTCTGAAACAAATCAGGTTTTGATCCAAGTTTCATGAACTTCATCTTCAACTCCTTCTATAATCCACTTGCGTTCATCTAGCTTGTGAGTGAGTTGTTTTGATGAATATATTTTGTGGCTTTTGTTCAAAGAGAAAGAAATGAGATCTCAGAAATGGGTATTGAATATATACTTCTTGATATAAGAATCTTTGACACTGTGTCAAAAATAAAAGATCTAGAGAGAGAAAATGTAGAGAGAGAGAGAAAAGAAAATGGTGATACCTTTTAAATTGTTGTTAATAAGTTGAAGATGAAGAAGAAGAGAGAGAGAGAGAGAGAGAGAGAGATACAATGTGTCCTAGTTCAGCGGCAAACCCCACGGAGTCCGGGCAACCCGGTCAGCTTAGGAGACATGCCCAACAGTAACACACACTCTTCCACACTAAATTATTCTTTCTCTCTCTAGAAATACCAGTAGAGAGAGAAACAAGGACACCCAACAAGCACAAATCTGACTCCACCTCTTTATTTTCTTTGATTAATTAAAATACGATGAAATAAAAATAAAATCTTGAAGGTTCGGTTTGAGATTGAAGA